AGAGAAGCAGCGCGACGCCTCTCAGACTAAGGCCGTCAACAAGTATCGAGCCTATCTGATTTGGCATGAGTCCCTTGTCGCGGCGATCATCAGCCTGCGACAGGCTCAGGAGAGCATCCCACGTCCTGCTGCGACTCCGTCGTCGTCTGGGAAGGCCAAGGTATGATTCCCTGTCTTTGTCCAGATTTTCTTACGGATATTGTTGCACAGGCCGAAGACCCTGTTCCTGAGGCTTCAGGCCCAACTCCTGCCATCGACATTGATTCAGACGTCGAGATGGAGGCCCCCACTCCTGTTCAAGAGAAGGTGCGTCCGTCTCGAGCCTTTGCCGAGCACAGGTTGATTTTTCACAGACCCCGCGACCATCTACTCGCAAGACCGTCGCAGGACGGTCCGGTTCTCGATCAGTCGACGGATCTGGTCATGACGACTCCGTAGGGCTCGCGGACGTCTATGGGACTATCATTCGACTCATAGACGAGCACGATAGGTCGATGCGTCTTCTCAGCGCCAAAATGTCGAAGCTTCACGCGGAGCAGATGGAGGCTCTAGGGAGCTGTCTCCAGAGTTTCCAGACGTGAGTTTCACTCAGTCGCGGCGACTACATCCTGACCAATTACCCAGCCATCGTTCGTTGTCACCGGCTCGAAGAGGCAGCGACTCAGCAACAGTACCACTGATGCGACCCCGGGTGAGTCTCGCAGTTCCACCTCCTGTCGCGACACTTTGCTAACCGATTGGCAGCGTCCGCGTCCGACCGAAGGTTTATTGCGGACCGAGTGCATCGACATCAATTGTACCGGTGCGGCGGTCCATTCCACTCGAGCTCCTCATCGAGGAACGCGACTACGTCACGTCGCGGCTAGAGGAATGGAAGACCGCGCTCAAGGACGTCAAGGAAGCCATTGACCTCTCGATGTCGAAGAATGCGGCCTAATCTTTTCATGTTTTGTTCTATATGCACTCTCCTTCCATATGTCTCTCCTCTCTCATGTCACTTATTTATGAAGTCGCGTCTCTTCTTCTCGCGCACCTCCTTTATGACCTTTTTCTTTTAGATAAACCCAGTATAGTCCTTAGGTACCAGCTAGCACCCAAGCAATATACTGAATTCTGTCTAAAACTGAGAGAAGCGACGTCTTGTCGTGCGAGAGCCTGCCGCGACAATTGCTTGTCTGCCAGACTTTCACTCGACAGAAGCTGGATCCTCTACAGGATCGTCGTCGTCGTCACTATCCGAGTTCTTGAGTTTCACACCTTCGAACTGGTAGTCGCGGACGTCAGATATTTCCTCCACCAACTCATCGAGTTTAGCAGGCGAAATATCTATCAGCTTCTTTATATCTTCAGAGAGTGTCAACTTTGTCTTGCCAAATAGGGTATTACTCGGAACGCCGCGACTTTCGCATGGAACATCGCGCCGTTCATTTCACAGACCAAGTAAGAACCTCCTTTGGTCTTTCGAACTACAATCATGGGTCCAAGATATCTAGCTTTCATCTTGTTGTCCAATGATTTTTCAATAGCTGTGTTCCTGACCAACACTAAGTCCCCTGGTACAAACTTGTAATCTTTGATCACATGCTTGTACTCGAGTTCGTAGCGTTGAACCATCTTTAGTTTGGCGTCGCTGACGCGGCTGCGCATATCTTCTATATGGTCGGCGTGTTTCGCTAGAGCGCGTGCTCTGAGACCAATGAGATCCGCAGAGTCGACGATCCGGTCAGGATATTCGACTAACCACGTAGCTTCGACTATATCCAGAGGGATGGTAGGGTGGGCCCCACATACTGCGAAGTATGGTGAACAACCCAGCCCGCGACGCACTGTAATTCTATCTGCCCACAAGACCTGTGGGAAGAACCAAAACCATTTGGAGGCGTTTCCCCCAGTAGCTTTGTACAGCGACTGTCGAATGTCCCAGTGACCTCTTTCAACAGTGCCATTCGCTTGGGAATTGTAAGGAGATATCCTTATTCCCTTGATACCATATTTCTTTTGTAACCAATTCAACGCCGCGACAAATTGTCCTGCGTTGTCGGTTACAATCCACTTAGGACACCCCCAACGACACACTATGTCCTCGAGCAAGAAACGCGCGATTGCCTTGGCGTTGTCAGCCTGCAGCGGTCGCGCTTCCACGTAGCGGGTCAAAGAATCCCTTGCTGCGACGACATATCTGTATCCGTTGGAAGGCGTTCCCATAATCATGACATCTGTATGTATCTTCTGAAATACACTTGGAGTCATCGTCGGCGTCGGTGGAGTGCGGAGGAGAGTTTTCTGGCGGACTTGGCAGCTATGACAAGTCTTTATCCACCAGTCGACGTCTCTTTCCATTTCTGGCCACCAAAACCGAGTTTCCAACAGGCTCTTAGTGCTGAAAAGACCCTTATGACCCAGCGCGTCGTGACACGCCTTCATCATATAAGTCCTGTGGCGCTTGTCCACGACCAGTCTATGAATCCCATTGGTCGATCTCTTGTACATTTTTCCATCTTTGAGGAAAAACTGTCGCGAGAATTTGAGAAACGATCTGAACCGTTTGTCTGTCATTTCAGGCCTTACAGAAGTGTCTTTCAGCCACTTCCTAGCCATTACCAACTTATTGTCCTGTTCGATCCCTGTGCCAGTCCGGTGATCCTCAATATAGGGATCCTCAGGATTGTCGCGCAGTTCAAGATCAGGCAAAAGCGGTTCTCCGTTTGCCACATCGTTCAACATGAAGACTGGGACGACGAGCCCTTGAGCGTCATATGCGTCTTTGACGCGCCGATTCTCAGCGCGACGAGAGTCGCAAGCTTCGACTAGCTCTTTGGATATGTCGTCGACCGACTCAGCACACCCGACCATAGAGTTAAGGTAGCCACCTCTGGTGTCAATGTCCCTTTTGAACTCTTCAAAGTCTAATGGTTGTTCTGTGTCGTAATCCCAATTCTCGTTGTTCTCTGGTGGTGGCTCGTCGAAGATTTCCTCTTCGTCATTGGGATACTCTTCGTCTCCAGGTGCAGGTCGTCGTCGCGACAAGCCATCTGGTGAGAAGGTGATTCCTCTGACATGTTTCAAGGTAAACTGAAACATGAGGATCTCCTCAGCCCAACGGTTGATATTTGCATTTGGTAGGTTACCAACGTTCCTTAGCATGCCTGCCAAGTACAGCGCGTCGGTTTCGACTACCAATTTTCTACAACCAAGAAGCCAGTGAGCCATGGCTTGAAGCACGCGCTTCACACCATAAAGTTCACGCTTCGGTTGAGAAAACCTAGCTTCTCTTTCTGTAAGCGGGATACTCCCAAATTTTGCGTAATAGACTTTCTTTGGATCATCTGGGTCGCGCTGGTAAATTTCAAAACCCGCGGCCATCCAGGATGTGTCTATTGCGACGACAATCTCAGAGTCCCACTCGTAGTTCAGAGGCTTAAGCGACGGACAGACTTGTATCGCGTCTTTAAGTCTTTGAAATGCGAGTTTCTGTTTGTCACCCCATTCAAAATGCGCGTTCTTGTTCACCAGTCTCTGAATTGGTCGCGCCATTTCAGAAAATCCTCTAATGAACATCCGCATGACCCCAATCGTACCCATGAATTGTCGAACTTCCGAGACGTCTCTCAAGTCTGGCCAACGCATGATTACACCAACTCTGTCCGCGTCAGGTTTTCTACCTTCAAACGAACAGATATGGCCAACCACAGCGAACTCGTCGGCGCAAACCACCGACTTGGTACCAGACAGAGTCGCGCCACAGTAGCCGATTCTGTGCACGACGCGGTTCACATTCTGAAAGTGTTCCCATACGAAGCGACGGATCCCGGGATTTTCTGGAATCGTTTCACAGGTTCCATCGGGTAACAGATACCTGGTTCCTGGTCCTCGAACGGGTACGTCGTCGATGTAGGGAATAGTAACATGAGGGATTTCGTCTTTCAAAATGAAAGTAACGTCCTCATGGAATATGGGTACTGAGTTGGTCCATCCTTGTGGGAGTTTGACCAACCTCAGCGCACCGAACGGTGACTGGAATGTAGTCAAGTCGCGACTAGCTGGATCGATGTCACGCTGGTCGTAGCCTGAGTACAAATCTAGCGCAGCACCACAGGCGCGACCGGCGAAGTGGTTTGCTAACTCCTCTGTCGCGGGCGGCAATCCTGAATGTGCGATAGTAATTGCATTGAGTGGTTCTAGCGAGTGCACCAGTCTGATACTCTTCCCATCCTTCTTAAGTACAGCAAAGAACTTGCTCCGATAAGAGGAATTGGAAGGCTCATAGACCTGGGCCGCGATTTTGTCTTTAATGACCTTGCACACTTGGTCGAACATGCCGCGAGGTATAGGAATATTCCCTTCGCGATATGCTGTATGGGGAACTGTCGCGATCTTGACAGGAGGAAATATATCCTGTCTTAATGCGCCACGTTCTTCATCATTGAACGCGAAACTCTGATTGTGAAGCATGTAGAAGTGCATGAGCAACTTCCGTTCTTCTGGTAATAAGAAGTCTCCCTTGTGTAGCTTATCCACAATCTCCCTGCGTTCCGCCGTGAATCTACCAGTTGGGGTAAAATCAGGTGGTCGCGGGTTTAGAGTAGGCAGCGTATCCAAAGGATCTCCCACCATTTCTCGAATTATTCGATCGTCCTCAGAACCCATAGTGTACACTGGTCTGACCTTCTGGTCTACAGGTTTGTATTTCTTTCCTGCGAACACAGAGTATTTGTCGCGACTAGAAGAGTCGTCGTCTAGTACACTCCAAGTACCAACAGTCAGTTTTTCTGTTGCCGCGTCTGAGAGTCTTTCATTCATATATGAATGAAACAAAGTCGACGCAGCGACGTCTTTCTTCATTTCCTTGTCCTCTTTCGACGACAAGATATATGCCTCTACTAGCTCAGTTTGGGTAAACTGGCCACTAGAACGCGGCTTTCTTAGATCCTCGAACACTACATTCCCATCTTTTCCCAACGACACAGTCACCGCGACTTCTTCTCCTTGACTCAACCTGGTCAATTCCTCGAAGCTCTTTGAAAATCCCGTTCAGGGTTCGGTTCGTCTGGACTGGCCGTCGGTTTCGACGAACTGTAGGGCTCGGTAGATCCGTCGTTGTTTTTGGTGTTACGCGGCAAGTCGTCTGCACGACGTGGCTGCGTAGCCATTGCACAACGTGTCTTTAAATTGGGATCGCGCATAGTGATTATTTGGCTGCCGTCGGCCGCGTTCTTGATATTGCTTTCTGTCGCGATATCAAACGGTCTGCCGAGCAACACCTTATAAGCTGGACTTTCCAAAATGTGCACCTGCAGGTAGACCAAGATGGTCCCAAACCTGAAGGGTACATTTCTCGCTAATCCCAGTGACTTAGAGATAGATCCATTTGCGCTTTCCATATATATGACGACCTTTGGGTCCCAGCTCAATTGTGCGTCGACGGCTTCTGAGAAAGCCATCGATACAATCTGAGATCCACTGTCTAGGATGCAGTCCGCGTCGAGACGCGCGTTAATCCGTCCGTTTATTGTTCTGAGAGCAGCTGACGAATCACCAACATAGACATGTCTTGGGTTCTCATTAGAGGGTATCGACTCCAAGTACATCTCATATGGATCCGTCGCGACAACTGCGCCAATGGGAATTTCTCCTTCAACTGTGTTATGATAGAACACAGGCTCGGGCAATTCCTTAGCACTGACTAGGTTGTAGCTCAGTTCTCCATCCCAAACGTCTTCAACGACGCGACCAGTTTCTTGAAGCATGGACTTCTGAACCGGTACTCGTTTCTTCGAAGAGTCCTTTAGAATGGAGTCGCGAACAGTCCCCGAAACTGCTAGGAGTTCACCCACAGTGACGTCGACTGACGCGTTTTTCATTTTGTCGTAGACTGCTTCTGCCACAGCCTTCTTTTGAATCGGTGCACGCAACTGGTATTTATCTGGAACGCGCGCTTTTGAAGAATGTACTGGTTCTTGTAGAACGGGCTTGACTTTCTCAAACGGTAGTTCCTTTCTGTTTTCGACGTTGTCGCGCACTGATTCCTCATCATCGTCGCTATCACTAACTTCTTCAATAGTCACAGGTTTTCTCGGTTTCTCTCGTCGCTCAGCTCGTTTATCATGGTCCTCAGAGGGCTTGGCTGAGTTTGTGGGTTTAGCCCCCTTCCTTGAACCATTTAGAAACCCGAGTTGTTATCGTCGCGCTCAGGTTGGCTATTCGCACCACGACGGGTTTGAATGAACTGCTCCTGAGTCTGAGGATAACCACTGTTCATGTTGTTGAAGTAGCCGGCCATGGCGTCGGTCATGGCTTTCTGCATGAATTGGCCCATGGCACTTTCCATTGCATTGCTGGTTGAACCAGATGCAGTTCGTTGAGTCTTTGGCTCAGCGCGACTCTCTGGAGTTGGCCGCGACGACTTCCTCTCGTATTGGATGAGTTGACTTCGAAGGGAGCGTATTTCATCTGCCACTTCTTCAGGGTAGTCGGACATATCATCATTGTCGCGACTATCGAACTGATCCAAGTAGTAGGAGTCTTGGAAGTTGACGGACTTTCCCTTCTTCTTCCAATAAGCCTCTACTCGTTGCCCCTGAGTCCCTTCTCCATTTGGTAAGAAGCTGTCGTCGAAGAGCCTCCACATCCCTTTGGTGTCGACTTTGAGAAGGTTTTTCTCAATGTGAGACCTCTTGAGCGGGCACTCGTTCGACCAATGACCAGTTTGTCCACAGTAGCGACAATCGTCGTTCCGTGCGGCAGCTCCTCCTTGTGCGCGACTTTCAAAGTGGGGCACAGAAGAGTTGTTGCCTACTGGCCGCGACCGCTGTATGGGCGCTTCGCGAGCAGTCTGTACGAACGTCTTCAGCGCTTCCTGCAACTGAGTCTGTAGCTCTTTTTGGTGTAGAAGAAATGAATCCTTCAAGTTGGAAATCGAGTTTTCCAACTCCTCAACCTTAGCATGGTTGGGTGGACTAGTCTCATAGTCGAAACGAACCTTGGGAGGTCGCGCGATTATGGGAATTTCGTCTTCGTTACTCAACGTCGACGCCATTTCTTCCGCCATCGTCATTAATTCTTTTAGCTGGATGGGGTCGTCCTGCCGATTGACTCCAGTCGCGGGGACATTAGCGTTTGCTATCCCGGCGCGAGTTTGGTAGCGCTTGTTGAATACCTGACTCGTAGCCAAAGCATTTCGCAAGACGGTACTGAACTCAGAGTCCAAAGTACGCATGTAGCGTTCACACGCGACTTTGTTGGTGATAATGGCAGGAGGGACTGACAGTCGCTTGTAGTGACTATACATTTGAAGGCCGAAACGCTTCAAATCTCCCTCATCCGTGATTTTGATTCCACGGTTCTCGCGACAGAGCCTGTCTAGATCTGCCATGGTCCCCGTTTTTCGCTTGGACACCTCAGGGTATCCTTTTAATATTTCGGCCTCGAATTCCGCGACAGTTTTCGTGTCGTCGGAATAGGTATCGAGACCTTCCCATACGTCCATCACTTGCCGCGACGGCAAATAACGGATGTACATGCTTTTTGCCTGTTTGACATCTGTGATGCCACCATCCTCCACGATCTGCGCGCAGTGACGCAAATATGCCTCAATCGACAGGGGATCCTTTTCATCAAGTATAGGTCTACTTGTGTCCCAAGGTTGAGGGATTTTGAACCCAGTCTTTGGAGCCATAGTTGTCGCGACTGAAGTCACAGGGGAAGTAGGGATGTTGTTAGAATTCGTGTTTGTAGCGGTGACGCTACTAGACAATTCTGAGAGGGTTTGTGAGCTAGTCTGAGATCGACTGATTGTCGTCGAACTCGAAGTAGCTGTGTCTAAAGCTGGAAGCTTCGACGTCGAATCCACTCTTTGTTTTCCTTTTGCCTTGGAGGCAAGGGTGGTAGATACAAAGGTGTTTTATGTCTTGCAGACCTTCGTGGTTTTTCGAAAGGTCCTGAGGTTGAAGCGTTTCCTTCAGTCTCAATCTCCGCTTGGTCCTCGTTAGGTCGCGCAGGAGCTTGGGATCGAAATAAACTGCTTCGCGGGATAAACCCTTGGTCTCTATCCGACGTCGCGGTAAAGAATCCGGTTTATTGATTTTTAAAGTTTATGAAACTTTAGAAGCCCCTCGCGGTGGGCTCCAGATGAAATGCTGAGGGCGTGCTCACAAGTGAATCTACTATGAAAGTAAACCCAAATATAAAACACGTTCACACTCCTCGTAATCAGCTTCTCAGTGTGTGAAAGATGCGAGGGCTTCGGGGTGGACAGAGCACCAGTATCACAACTCTCAATAGACGCAGATCCAATAGTCGCGGAGACGAAGTCGACGACAAGAATTTATATATAGCAAACAATGGTGTCTCAACCAATATCTTCTATACGATCACAACCAACACTAATCCAATCCACAACAACAATATAACAAGTCAGAGCTTAATACGAAGTATTAAGATCCCTTGTAGCGACAGCGTCTAGATGGTGACGCAAAGCCCAAATATCAAGTCGACGCACTGCCAACCGATACAACCAATATACTGAGTCGACGCACTGCCAACTAGTAAACCAAAATGTCGAGTCGACGCACTGTCAACTGACACAACCAAAAGTACTGAGTCGACGCACTGCCAACTAGTAAACCGAAATGCCGCGTCGACGCACTGCCAACTAACAGCCAATATCCAATGTCCAAAAACCCGAGCACAACTTGTCGACGCACTGCCAAGCAAGAAGTGTGGAACCAAAGTTCTCAAGTCGACGCACTGCCAACTGACCAAAACAACCCGAGCACAACTAGTCGACGCACTGCCAAGCTAGAGGTGTGGAACGATCTCAACAAAGCCCGAAGGCGACGACACTAAATGCCGCGAATCCGACTTTCTGATGTCTCAACTCAAACTCAAATCACAGTAGCTACAAGTGCTCAGGGAGCAACTCGTCGCGACCGGGCAGGGATGGCAGAACTTCTTAGGGTGGAATCACGCGGCACGCAAATTGTACAAAACAATCTGAAATGATAGTGATTCACAGTCCGGGGGAAAGCTTCCTATACAAAGAGACGACGTGCTACTTATACTGTCTACGACGCTGCTTAGTAAAGTCCTGTACAACTGCATAGTAGCTACGCTATCTAAGATCGGTTGCCTTTTAGGGTAATTGAAAAGTTGAACGATCGGACAGGTCCTGAGTGATCAGGACCCCGCCCCATAGTCCATATGATACTTTTGATGTGGGTCAACCCACCGCGTCATACTTTTGGAATACGACGTGCTGGATTGGCCAACGGGTATGTCTTGGCATGTGAGACCAACGTGGGCGCCCCAAGAAGCCGTATGGCTCTAGGCACGCCAGTCGCCTCCCACATGGCTCGGTTCACGGATCTAGCCGTATCGATTTTAGTGTGTTTGAATATGGGCGCGACTCGCCGTGACACTTGGAAGTGTCGCCGCGACGCGTCCACAATGTCCCGTGATCGAATGGATCCTGACATGTGACAAGTCGTCGTCGTGGCATGATCTGAGGAAAACGTCCAACTCAAAACCGGGAGTTGCCGCGACAAGATGGTTTAAGTCTTGTAACGCCAAGTCCTGTCCAGTAGTAGTTCTATTATTGAGAACGTCGCGCATTGCTCAGCCCTTCAGCCCAAGTTCCCATCTGCAGAGAATGACCCTTTTTGAGAAGTTGACGCAACGACATATCCCTTTTTGGGGAATGGTCGCGGTCCAAGCGTTCGTCACTAATGGCCCTGAGCCTGGTGTAGACTCATAAGACCAGTTCCACAGTAGTGGTCTGACTGCCTTGCTATCGTCGACACTATCCACAGTCGTCGACTGGGCAGTAGACCCATAAGTCCTACTGAGCGCAACACTGTTAACCGCGACACGATACACCGAGTGGTTGAAGAGTAAACTCTGTAAAAAGCGCAAAAATACGCCCTTACAGAGCTGGTGCAGAGCGCGTCTGGTAGCCAGCCTATCACCGTGATCGAATGGATCCTGACATGTGACAAGTCGTCACCGTGGCATGATCTGAGGAAACGTCCAACCCAAAACCGGGAGTTGCCGCGACAAGATTGGTTCAATCTCGTAACGCCAAGTCCTGTCCAGTAGTAGTTGTATTATTGAGAACGTCGCACATTGCTCAGCCCTTCAGCCCAAGTTCCCATCTGCAGAGAATGACCCTTTTGAGGAGTCGACGCAACAACAGATCCCTTTTTGGGGAATGGTCGCGGTCCAAGTGTTCGTCACTAATGGCCCTGAGCCTGGTATAGACTCATAAGACCAGTTCCACAGTAGTGGTCTGACTGCCTTGCTATCGTTGACACTATCCACAGTCGTCGACTGGGCAGTAGACCCTTAAGTCCTACTGAGCGCAACACTGTCAACCACGACACGATACACCGAGTGGTTCAAGAGTAAACTCTGTAAAAAGCGCAAAAATACGCCCTTACAGAGCTGGTGCAGAGCGTGTCTGGTAGCCTATCACCGGAGCTAACGGTGATAGGCTGGCTACCAGACGCGCTCTGCACCAGCTCTGTAAGGGCGTATTTTTGCGCTTTTTACAGAGTTTACTCTTGAACCATTCGGTGTATCGTGTCGCGGTTGACAGTGTTGCGCTCAGTAGGACTTAAGGGTCTACTGCCCAGTCGACGACTGTGGATAGTGTCGACGATAGCAAGGCAGTCAGACCACTACTGTGGAACTGGTCTTATGAGTCTACACCAGGCTCAGGGCCATTAGTGACGAACGCTGGGACCGCGACCATTCCCCAAAAAGGGATATGTCGTTGCGTCAACTTCTCAAAAAGGGTCATTCTCTGCAGATGGGAACTTGGGCTGAAGGGCTGAGCAATGTGCGACGTTCTCAATAATAGAACTACTACTGGACAGGACTTGGCGTTACAAGACTTAAACCATCTTGTCGCGGCAACTCCCGGTTTTGAGTTGGACGTTTTCCTCAGATCATGCCACGACGACGACTTGTCACATGTCAGGATCCATTCGATCACGGGACATTGTGGACGCGTCGCGGCGACACTTCCAAGTGTCACGGCGAGTCGCGCCCATATTCAAACACACTAAAATCGATACGGCTAGATCCGTGAACCGAGCCATGTGGGAGGCGACTGGCGTGCCTAGAGCCATACGGCTTCTTGGGGCGCCCACGTTGGTCTCACTTGCCAAGACATACCCGTTGGCCAATCCAACACGTCGTATTCCAAAAGTATGACGCGGTGGGTTGACCCACATCAAAAGTATCATAGGGACAATGGGGCGGGGTCCTGATCACTCAGGACCTGTCCGATCGTTCAACTTTTCAATTACCCTAAAAGGCAACCGATCTTAGATAGCGTAGCTACTATGCAGTTGTACAGGACTTTACTAAGCAGCGTCGTAGACAGTATAAGTAGCACGTCGTTTCTTTGTATTGGGGAGCTTTCCCCCGGACTGTGAATCACTATCATTTCAGATTGTTTTGTACAATTTGCGTGCCGCGTGATTCCACCCTAAGAAGTTCTGCCATCCCTGCCCGGTCGCGACGAGTTGCTCCCTGAGCACTTGTAGCTACTGTGATTTGAGTTTGAGTTTTGAGACATCAGAAAGTCGGATTCGCCGCATCTGGTTTAGTCGCGGCATTTAGTGTCGTCGCCTTCGGGCTTTGTTGAGATCGTTCCACACCTCTAGCTTGGCAGTGCGTCGACTAGTTGTGCTCGGGTTGTTTTGGTCAGTTGGCAGTGCGTCGACTTGAGAACTTTGGTTCCACACTTCTTGCTTGGCAGTGCGTCGACAAGTTGTGCTCGGGTTTTGGACATTGGATATTGGCTGTTAGTTGGCAGTGCGTCGACGCGGCATTTCGGTTTACTAGTTGGCAGTGCGTCGACTCAGTACTTTTGGTTTTGTCAGTTGGCAGTGCGTCGACTTGACATTTTGGTTTACTAGTTGGCAGTGCGTCGACTCAGTATATTGGTTGTATCGGTTGGCAGTGCGTCGACTTGATATTTGGGCTTTGCGTCACCATCTAGACGCTGTCGCTACAAGGGATCTTAATACTTCGTATTAAGCTCTGACTTGTTATATTGTTGTTGTGGATTGGATTAGTGTTGGTTGTGATCGTATAGAAGATATTGGTTGAGACACCATTGTTTGCTATATATATATATTCTTGTCGTCGACTCCGTCTCCGCGACTATTGGATCTGCGTCTATTGAGAGTTGTGATACTGGTGCTCTGTCCACCCCGAAGCCCTCGCATCTTTCACACACTGAGAAGCTGATTACGAGGAGTGTGAACGTGTTTTATATTTGGGTTTACTTTCATAGTAGATTCACTTGTGAGCACGCCCTCAGCATTTCATCTGGAGCCCACCGCGAGGGGCTTCTAAAGTTTCATAAACTTTAAAAATCAATAAACCGGATTCTTTACCGCGACGTCGGATAGAGACCAAGGGTTTATCCCGCGAAGCAGTTTATTTCGATCCCAAGCTCCTGCGCGACCCCTTGAGGACCAAGCGGAGATTGAGACTGAAGGAAACGCTTCAACCTCAGGACCTTTCGAAAAACCACGAAGGTCTGCAAGACATAAAACACCTTTGTATCTACCACCCTTGCCTTCCAAGGCAAAAGGAAAACAAAGAGTGAATTCGACGTCGAAGCTTCCAGCTTTAGACGCAGCTACTTCGAGTTCGACGACAATC